CTTACCTGAGCAGCTTCTCATTTAGCTAAAAATGGTCAGTGCATGATTAAAAAGTCAGTCAGTCTTCCCTCAAGTGTCTCCAGTTGCACTCAAAATGCACCTCCTAAATGGAACCTGTAAAAGCGGGAACACATCACTCAAATTATGGACACAGAATCCAATCACCCCCCCAATAAATGAATAAATAAATACATAGTTTTAGGAGCATACTATTAACTTTTGATTGATAGTGGGAAGATTTGCTCATTCAGCAGTTTGCATTATGTACGGTTTAGAACCACGCTACAGCTTACCTGAGCAGCATCTCATTTAGCTAAAAATGGTAAGCGCATGATTAAAGAGTCAGTTAGTGTTCCCTCAAGTGTCTCCAGTTGCACTCAAAATGCACTTCCTAAACAGAACCTGTAGAAGCAGGAACACATCACTCAAATTATGGATACAGAATCCGTGAACATTTTCGAGTTCATTTTAAATGGTCTCACGCCACCTTACCTTTCTGAGCTCCTCCACCTCTGCGTAGCTGCTGGGTGCCGCAGGCCAGTGGACCAAATGCTACTGGAGGTAACGAGGAGTTAGCTGAGCCTCAAAAGGGACCAATCATTTCCCGTTGCGGGTTCCTCCCTTTGGAATGGCCGCCCGTTAAACGATAGGCAAGCACCTTCACTGTTGATTTTTTTTTTCAAACTCATCTTGAAACACATTTTTATTCTTTGGCTTTCTCAGTATGTGACTCAACATTGTTTTAGTGCTTTATTGGGTTAACTGTTTTTACGTTATGAATTTGTTCTTTGAACTCTCGTTGTTTTTTACGATGAAAAGCACAGCACTGCCGCTCTGGTTGTTTGAGAGCTTGACAAATAAAGTTGAGTTGATTGAAAAACATTGCGCACCACGTAGCTCTACACCACACTGCAAACTATGAACACATTAATAAGCATGTCAAATTAATAAACGTATCCAACACACCGTTTACACTCCCAGTGTCAACAATTTAAGAAGTACGTCATATCAGTTTGGCATTTGCACACAAACTATATCGCATCTGTCTCACATTTTACTCGGGAAGCCTCGCGCAAGTTTTCAGACTGATAGTTTATGTAACTAGTGACTCAGCATTGTTTTAGTGCTTTATTGGGTTAACTGTTTTTACGTTATGAATTTGTTCTTTGAACTCTCGTTGTTTTTTACGATGAAAAGCACAGCACTGCCGCTCTGGTTGTTTGAGAGCTTGACAAATAAAGTTGAGTTGATTGAAAAACATTGCGCACCACGTAGCTCTACACCACACTGCAAACTATGAACACATTAATAAGCATGTCAAATTAATAAACGTATCCAACACACCGTTTACACTCCCAGTGTCAACAATTTAAGAAGTACGTCATATCAGTTTGGCATTTGCACACAAACTATATCGCATCTGTCTCACATTTTACTCGGGAAGCCTCGCGCAAGTTTTCAGACTGATAGTTTATGTAACTAGTGTTTCCTGGCATGTAGTTTTGTGTTTTCATCCATGTTCGATTCGGTCCAGGCTGTCTGGAAGAGACAGTGTGATTTTGAACATAGGCCCGATGGCTCACTGGAACTCTCTGAAAGCGCATCAGGAAACGGCGTTGCTGTGGAAGTCAAAAGTCTCCTCCGGGAGGAGATGGAAGAGAGCGAGCAAAACTCTGCTTTTCCGAGAGGCGTACGTAAATATGTCAGCATGGTGATGTGTGAGGCCTGCCCTTTTTAATAGTAGACAACATGAAAGGCACACACTTGCATTTAGTAAACATTTTTCTTCACAAAAGATGACATGGGGCAGATCAGTGCGTGCTCAGGTAACGAAAGCATGAATATCATATCGGCATGGGAAGTTGCGTATATCACCAACTTCATCTTGTACGGGGTCTTCACGGGATGCCGTGCTTGGAAATTGTTTTGAACAGAAGGTTTTCTGAAAACAGAATTCAAAAGAAAATGTGAGGCTCAGAAGTATACAGAAAATGATGTTCACGTGTTGGTTATTGTAACGGTGAATCCCTGAACATGGAGCTGCTCTGCAAAAAAATGCTGAATGATGAATGCCAGAATTTTGTCAAACATCTTAAAGCCAAAAGCCCATACTTCAGTCCACACGCAACCGGTTTGCTTAAGATATATTATGGTAATGTAAAGGGTTGTGACTTCTGGCCTGAATAAATGAACAGCTGATACTGCATTTGAAATTGTCTGTAGTGGTCTACCGAATTGGCGACAGCCGGTGTAGATATTCTCTGTACTTTACTGCACCTGGTTCACCTTCAATCATTACAGTTATCCTCCTTTGTTTCATTTGATGTTTGCATTGTGGCGCCGGTGCCTCGTTTTAAATCCTGCAAAGGACTCGGTGCTACTTTCTTGTTGGATAATGTTTCATCCTTCTTGTCCAGACAAAGGTCACACTCCCCGTATTCCAGTCTGCAGCATATCATGTTACATTCTTGCCGTCTCTGTGAAAGCAAACGTGCTAATGAGAGAATTCCCACAGATGGACGCTCATTGTTCAAATGCTTAAGCACATCACAGGAAGCCTTGCATCAACTGGGATTTGTCATTTGGAATTATTAGAGTGGCAAACAATCAGAGCAAACAACGGTTGGCAGTTGTTTTGTGCCCCCTGATTTACCTATTAACTGAACCATTAATAAGTGAAACCTGAAACAACTAGAAGAACATTGGTCATTATTGGTCCTGACACGTTGACGACCTGAGCAAACCTTTGATCCAACTCCTTTGTGCTGTAAATTGTGTTGTGTTGCGGTATGCCGGAGAAGGACTTGAGGTTCATCCCCTTGTTTACTTCCCTTCAAGTTAATGATGTAGTTGTGCAAGGGAATATGTTGGGTCTTTTATCCCTCTTTATTCATCTTTTATTTGCTTTGCTTTCTTTCTCTTTAAAGCCAGCCAGCGCACAACACTGTCGCCGTGCTGAAAGGAAAGCTGAAGCCACGAGGTATATTATTTATGAATTCACAGTGCCTTGTTTTGTCCAGGCCTAGCTATGGGCACTCTGGCCACCAGTGAATTTATGCCTTGCTCCTTAAAAATGATTACATACCCCGGGCATTCTTGTGGGAGGAGTATGTTTACGGTGAGCTGCTCTACTCCCATTGTGACCCCTCCTCATGGCATAGTATGTAACATACCATTACCAACTACATGTGCTTCTCTGTGCACCTATAGTATATCCTTCCTTGTCAATGAAAATATTTCACTTTGTCATTTTGTCCCACAAAGGTGACACGGCCATCTTATGGAAGTCCTTCAAAAGATGGGGAGAAAGGAGCGTGTTTTGTAGTCGCATCACGTGACTGCTCTTTCAGTTCTGACGTTAGCTACTGACAGTTGCAATGGAATTTAAAAGTAGCATGCTGTCACGTTGCTGTCAATGTAAAGGGCGTGTGTACGAGGCTTTCAGCTCAGAATGGTTAGAAGGATAACTTCGCCACAAAGTCTCATTCAGTGGAGATGTTGGAGCTGGGTCGGGTTGCTAATTTCTTCTGTGACACTTGAGGCACGTTCATTTCATGTTATCTTTCCAAACATCCCAAGTTGGAAAGCATTCAGGGATTTCCTCTGATTTAGATAATGATAATCAATGTCATTCTAGTTAATGAAAACTAGTACGGAAACTAAATTGAAAAAAAAATACTGTTTCTTGAACGAAATAAAATAAACACAAATATCCTTGTAAAAAATGGAAACTAACTGAAAATACATCTTTGGGTTATCAGTCTGTCATTATTTCAGGCTTGTCGTCCGTTGCCAGCAATGTTGGGAGTCGATATCAATACAGCAGAGGGACGGGCATCGCGTTGCCAAGATGGCTGTATTTATGGCACTCGTTCCCTATTCTTATTCGACACCCTTCAAGATTTTTCTTTTCGCTCTCAAGTGCTCCTACAGTACACAGCCATGCACTGCAACACATGCAAAATTCCGCATTTCTATCTGAGGCAGCCAGCCTCCGCCCTCACGTGTGCACACTGCAACTGCAAATGAGTGATGAATAATCCGTTTTAAGGCAAACTCAGATCGTTACACTGATCCCCTGTGACATTTTCGGTAATTTCATTGGTCACTTGTGACGATACTATGGGTAAATCTATTGGCAGCTTCAAAAATAAATCGGGTCACATTATATGCCGCAGGGGTCAAATTGTGGGAAAAAAAGTAGTGTCTCAGCGTCCGAAAAGTACGGGAATCAATTATTAATATAATCGGTAGTTACACAATTATTGCATTAAATGATAGTACATGTCTACAAATTGTGGCGCCACAGTCAATTTACTTTTCTGAAATTTCCCTCTTGTATACAAAGTCCTTTTGTGCACATTGCCTTACCATCAAGAGACGACTGCAAACTCATCTGACACTCAGGCTGCAATTTAATGTGAAAGTGTAATAGAGAGTTGAAGAGAGCATGCTCTCACGTCTAAAATGAATTCCCATCAGATTTTAGTGTTTTTGGAGAGTATTGTTATGGGTTGTTGAGGCACCGGTGCTTTTCTCTGGAGAGTGGCATCTAACATATTGGCCTGTCGTCCTTGGTGATGATGAAGCCAATATTTTATGGGAGTTGTGCTCCGAGTGAAACTGAGAGTGCAAAGTGGGAAATGGTGGGGGTGCGGGGTCAAAATGATGGGCCTTTTTATTCCCTGCTGCCAATTTCACCTTTGATAGGAGCATTTGGCTCCTCATGTTATCACAGAGAGCAAAATGGGGTTTCTATGTCAGCGCACAAGTGTGAATCCCAAATCCTCAATGTCCGTAAAAACTGTTTATACAGTGACACCACTGTGGATATTTACAGCGAAGTGGACAATAAGTAGAGTTGATGTGCTGTTATGTGTTGTGTAGTGAATGACTTTTTGGGAGGTTAAAAAAAAAAAACGTTTTGATTTTGATTCCAGGGCAAGCCATTTTTTGATCTTATGATGCATTCTAAAAATACATTATTGTGTTTATCTTAGGGGCTGTGGAGCGCCATCACTGAAGCTGACGTGATATATACAGGTAACTCAAAAATGTACCTGAACCATGACATGTGTGCTCTGCTTAAATCCACAATCGTGCAAAATTTGGCCACTGACAGCAGTGAGAGGATTTCAGTGTGAAACTAATTTCCAAATATTCATTCAAATCAATTAGGCAAAAAAAAAAATCTTTGTTTGTACTGCTCTTAGTGAACCTAAAATTATATCAGTTATCTAACTGTTCATTTTGTGCCTCTCGGACAAATATTATGGCAATGCATCTGTGGGGTTTTTTTTTTTGTCTCCTTTTTAATTTGTTAGCCTGAAAAATTCTCATCGTTGTGTCGTGATTTTGGATGGATGATAAAATACAAACATGTCAGGGTTAGTTTGCAAATCAAGAGTTCACTCATAAGTGTTTAATTGTTGAATGCGATGTGGCTCAGCTCCACAGTCTGTCACAAAATGGAGCAGAGTCGCCATTCTATTATTCCGGACATGTCCTAATCTCATTAGACCATTTGCTTTGTAGATTATATTTGCATTTGTTGTTGAACGTTTTTACGAAGCAAAACTATCACGCCATGCTTTAAAGTGTTGTGGGCTTTTGCTATACTAGGAATGCATAAAATTGGCAGTAGAGCGAGCCAGTTTATTGTTTAAAAGAATTGGATGCGTACTTAGCGTAAACAAATTAATTTGGGTTCTGTTTTATTTTTGCAGCCATTTGCATTTTCTTTCCCAGATTTAGTGTTCACATTTAAAACTTATAGAGAGAAGCTAATGGCTTGAGCTATCTTTTAATTAGATTTTTTATTGTTTTGCATTCCGCTGTGGCTCAAATTATGATTAGATAGAAGGGTGTGGGGGTTGAGGTGGGGGTGGAGAAATCACATTTTCATGCCAGAAAATGAAGTAGTGTGTGTATATCGGGGGAAAGTAACGTCCTAAATGAGGTGAATATGAGCAGCTCTTCAAACTGCTTGTTCTCATACAGTCATGTAAATACATAACATCATTTTTTTCGGAGACACATAATTGGCAGGCGCATTTGTGTTTTGCCCGTCTCCGTTTGTTACATTGACAGCGCTGCCTTGAAAGTGTGCAATATGGGTTCATTTTAGCCTTCTTTCTGGCTGTCACAGTCCCGCCTGCACTGATTTTCTCCAAAGTTTTTGTTGTATATCTGCCACATTAAATACTTCAGTAGTGACACCTCTGAGATTACATCGCTTCACACATTTTTGGTTTGTTTAGGCACAGTGGGGGGGCTGTGATAGATTGAAACTTTTGAAGAAGAAAAGCTCCTCTCTCAGGACATGAAAAAGAATGAATGTGGTACTCGACTTGAATATGGCACACATTCAATATTTTGTGGAGCGAGTGTTTTTCATCATGCCGTAAAATCATCACATACATTCTTCTCTTCATAAAACTTGCTCGATAACAAGCATTAAAATGATATTAAATTTAGGGCTTTGGAGTGTTCATGTTTGAAATTGCTCAGCTAGTACTTGAAGTTGAGTTTTCGACATTGAGGTTAGGCTCAACTAATCTCCTCGGAACCCTTGAAAAATACAGATATACTGTGTAATAAACATACAGTACCTACAATATATGTACAGTACAACTAAAAATCCTGCTGTTTCTAAAAAGCAGCAACCACCAACCACGGCTTAATTTCTTACCATTTCTTTGGGATATGTTGTCCGTAAGGCTAGTGATACATTTTGTTCCAACAATCAAAGTTAAAAGAACTCTGGGAGACATCTGTTGATGATGGATAGAGAACCTCAGGGAGAATTTATAGTTACATGTTTCTGGCCAGGCACAGAAGAAGCTATGGTGCATGACTGGGCCCACTGGTGATGTGAGAGGTTTGGATCAATCTGTACATGAAAAAGTCCCAAGATGTCTATCTATCAGGACCCGGGGCATTGAAAAAGAAACAAAAAGCGTGTCACAATCAACTTAGAGTGCATGACTCTAAAACCAACAACCACAAACGCAAACATATAAATCAACCTTGAGCTGCATCCGAGTTCCCAACATGGCCTCGACAAAACTGAAACAGAGTGCAAGGTGGAAGAGGTAGCAATGGAAGGCTCGCAGACATGCAGCAGAGGAGCAGAGAGTCAGAACGGGTTCTGCCTTGTTGATCCAGTATGACATTGATAGACAGCAGCTGAAGGAAAGCTGCTAACCATGTTTGGCGTGCTGGTTTTTAAAGGACGTACGTGACTGTCGATCCAAAGTTGACTGAGCACGGATTCAGCAGGCAATCTCCCCGAGTGGTTTTGCCAAAGAGATGTGTGGATGGAAACTTCCACATGCACGATGAGTCGCTTGACTTTCCCTCTTTTCCACTGATGTAATTCTCTTCTTTAACCAACCGTTAATGCCGCTGCTATTTTTACATGTTAGGATAGATGGCAGGACTCGTAGCTCTAGCTCAGGAAGTCAGTATGTCTAAACTTTGAGACAAAATGTCAACATTCCCTGTTTAATAAACTCATACAGATTTTCTATGAAGAGAACATCTGTTCCATAAACATTACATTGTTCGGCAATGTCGATTAATTCTGTTAAAAAGTTGGTTTTCCTATGCCACATGTTGTTGTTGTTGTTTATCACCTCACTGCTGCTCTTGTAATACATTTGGCTTTCTATATTTCTTCCAACTCTGGAAGTGTAAAATTTCTGGACCTCTGACAATAATTCAGTCTTACAATGCCTTTGCAGTTGTGCTGCTACTGTAGTGTTTGCTAAGATAGACTCTCCGTGTTACCCAGACTCCCAACTAACCATCCCAGCTCTCTTCGGGTAGCAGGCGGGGGACACCCTGAACCGGTTGCCAGCCAATCGCAGGGCACACAGAGACGAACAACCATATGCGCTCTCACTCACACCTTGGGACAATTTTGAGTGTTCAATCAGCCTGCCATGTATGTTTTTGGAATGTGGGAGGGAACCAGAGTACCCGGAGAAAACTCACAACTCACACAGGGCCGGGGAGAATATGCAAACTCCACACAGGAAGGCCGGAGACGGGATCGAACCCACAACCTCTGCACTTTGAGGTCGACACGCTAACCACTGGCCCACCGGGCCACCCGCAAAAAACATTCCCATGAAAAAAATAAATAAAACTTTCAATTTTCTGCTTGCTTCACAGCGTAAGAAAGTGTTTGCTGACTTAACATTGTGAACAAAAACAATATTGAATGCCCTTCAATATCAGGCTACAGTAAGTCTGTGGTTAAGATCTGTCATTTGACTCTCTTTATGGGGTTCAGCAGCAGCTATATTTCCAAGCAAATCATCATCACGCCAATTACAAAAAAAGAAAGGAAAAACTAAGAGCTCTTGACAAATGAATCATAAATTGAGACTGAGGGCCAGCGAAGTCATTGTGGTAAAGTTTGTACACTTTGTTGCCCCCGTCTTTCTCTTTGAGCTCTGTCTATTTGTCCTCTGCCAAGATAAAGATTATGTTTCAATTCTGTTTAAAAGATCGCCATCCTCCACACAATATTGCATTGTTCCTTTGGACTGGGTGGGGGCGTTGGGATGTATAATTCATTTAAAGCAACTTCCAGAATTGAGTGGACTGTTGTACACAAAGGAATACAAAAGACCATCAGTGGGGATGGGGTGGGAAAGGTAATTGTGATATAATGATTCCGATATCATTTGTGTTTAATGTTAGCCACAAGTGTGCTTTTTTTTCCCGATATGATTGACTGGGAGTTGTTGTTTATGTGATGCCTTAGAAAATAGGACAAGTCATAAGCAAGACAAGAAGAAAATGATTTCTTGGAAAATAACCGATGGCTGGCAAAATGGGCAGTTACCGTTCGTCTCAGTCGGCAGGCAGGAGATTATTTTGGAGAGTTTGCATATTTCCTTTCCTTTTGGTCATCCTTCATCCAAACTTTTGAATGGCACTTACAGTGTGCAACTTTCCAGCGAACTGATAAGCATCAAAACAACCAAAATCAAACTGCCGTATGATGCTGTATTTAACAACGTCATCAGTTAACGTTGGCTGAAGTCTTTCTTTTTCATCACAGAGTATTTAATTTCAATACAGCACTTTGGTCAAAGGCTGTTGCTTTTAAAAGTTAACAATAAAACTGAAATCATTTTCAGACGATATCACATTAGTCACATCGCTTAATTTTCGCTCCATTCACGTACGCACACATTGCAAACATTTGCGTCTGCATTCACTGATACACACAAAATGCAAACAAATGTCTAACCATTCTCATACACGTGATATCAACTTCTTCCTCTGAACATTAACGCATAATTTAAGCATCTAAAAGTTCAGTCACATCCACACATAATATAATTATCCGTCTGTCCATTGGTTAAGCATAATAGACATAATGCAGATGTCTGTCCATTCCCATGCACACATAAGTACATCTGTCCATCGACAACCCATTTCGTGGGCTTTTCAGTCCCGTAATTCATTCATTTATACTTGCTTCCATTGCAGGAAAACCAACATATACTGCGTATACTGTACTGTATGTGAAAAGACCTCCTTTCTATTTTCACCTCTCTCTGTTTGTAGATGGAGTTTTTCATATTTAATCAAAAGCTACTGTGCAGGGCTACTTCTGCAGATAACACTGCCTGCAGTGCCACTGTGTACTCTGGGGACTTTTACAACGGCAAGCCAATTGGCAGATTGATGATTCTGAGCCATAGATGTCAAGTTTGGGGTGGGGGGGGAAAAAAAAATACAGGCAGCCCACTAAGTAAACCGCGCTTTCTCATTTTCGCTGAGCCCTGAGTTGTTGAAGACTAATTAATTCAAGAGCAAAAGTCCCCAAAGGCTACAATTAATGATAAACTTATTAGACGTGATCGTTGATGGCACCCATGAGGTCTGGTTCTTATGGCGGCTCCCAAGCTTCTGGTGGTGTTACTGAGCCAGCTGTCACTTAAAGAAAAGAATAACGTGCGAGGGTGTACGTGGAAGTCTGTTCAAGCTTTTGAATTCCATTTTTCAAGACACACAGTCAG